CCAGTTGTCTTTCTCCTGGGGAAGGAGCCGGGAACTGGGCAGTGGGGTGCACAGCAGGCACAGGGAGCCCCCTCTGCCCCCCGTGCCCGCGGCCCCCACCTCATTGTAGCTGTTTTTTTCCCGCATGTGCTTGACGATGAAGTTGGCACCGTCAACGACGGGTTTTATGTGCTCATAGAGCTGCTCCTCGCCCACATCCATGGGCGCCAAACCTGGAGGCGAGGGGGGCAGTGAGACAGGCTCCAAAGGTCTGCCACCCCTGAAGACCCCTGCTCCGCCACCCTTCCCTGTGTCCCCGCAGAGGGGCCGAGGCTCACGGGCAGGGGTGACGCGGCTGGCCAGCCCATGCCGCTCCGACTGCTTCTCAAACATGAGTTCGCTGCGGGACTTGACACTGAAGTACTCCTCCGCCTTGGCAATGTAGCCGGCCGAGCTGCAGCGCCGGATGCATGGGGCGCCCGCTGGGCTCTCGGCCGGCTGCGACATGCCTAGCAGGCGGGGCAGGCTCTCCAGGAAGACCTGGGGCATGGGAGGTGGTGTCAGGTCCCTCGGCCACCCCCTCGGTGCAACAACACCTTGTCCCCACCTTCTTCCCCCAACCTGGGCATGCAACCCCTTGGAGTGACACAGATGGGACATCCTAATGCAATGCCGGGGCTGTGCTGTCCCATGCCCTCTGTGGGGCACGGTGCCACCCCTGCACCCACCAGGTCACCCACCCCAGCCCAGCACCCCGCTCACCTCTCTGACCCAGTCGGACATGATGTGGGTGCTGGGGGTGCGGAAATGGAAGTTGAGGACCACGACGCAGATCACCACCACGGCTGTCACCAGCAGCATGATGAAAAGCAGGTACCTGTGGGGGGCACGGACCTGGGGGTGGCATTGCCACAGGGGCTGGGCACAGGCAGAGCTGCCCTCTGGCACTGCAGGGACCCTGCAATGTCCCTGCTGCACCCAGCGGTGCCCAGGACTCACTTGCCGATGAGGGGGATGGCGTGGGAGGTGGCGGGCAGGCGCTGGGAGATGAGCAGAAGGAAGACGGACTGGGCCAGGAGCACCGAGATCACCAGGGTCATCTTCTCACCACCTGGAGAGCAGGTGAGCTCAGGGCAAACGCTGCCCCAGGTCCCCCTCCCAGTGCCCCCAGTGCTGGGATTACCCTCCCAGTGTTGCACCATACAGTGCCCCATACAGGGTTTTCTATTATGGGGGTACCCCAGGGTCCTGCACGGGGTATCCTGTGCCCAAGTGTGCCCCTGCCAGGGTGCCTGGCTGGGATGATGGTGTCCTACGCAGGGGTGTCCCAGTACCAGGATGTCCCCATGGTAGGCATTGGGGGGTCCCCATGTTCTAGGACCTGGTGCAGGTGTGGGCCATGGAGGTGCCCCATGGGGTAACCCCCATGCCTGGCGCGGGTGCTGTGGGGCTCACTCACTGTCAGCGGGCAGGTAGAAGACAAGGATGGCCATGAAGGCAATCAGGATGCAGGGCGTGACGATGTTGATGACATAGAAGAGTGGCTTGCGCTTGATAATGAGATAGAAGGTGATGTCCTGGTGCTCGCTGCTCTCCGGGGGGTTGTCAGGGTGGATGTTCTTGCGGGCTGGGCGGTGGATGATTTCCCATTCCCCGTTCTCTGCCAGGGTACATGGGACAGCACATGGCATGGGAGGCCCCCACCATGCCCATCCTCACCAGCCCCACCAGCACCCAGTCTCCCTGTCCTGGGTCTGGGTAGCTTCAAGCCTGGTGGGATGGGTGCCAGGGTGACAAAGCGCCAGGTACTCAGGTGTCTCCATGGCAGGGTGCCCCAATGCCAGGGTGCCCCCGAGCCCCTACAGGGTGTCCCACTGCTGCAGGACATGGCAGAGAGCACAAGCGTTACCCGTGAAGCCTTCGGGGTCAATGATGATCCACTCCACCGGGTAATCCTTGCCTGTCTTCGGGTCACTATCTGTCTTCAGGTGCATGCTGATCTCCAGGGCACTGTATGCCAGCGAGCTGGCCCAGAGCCGGCGGGGACAGGTGGTGAGGGGCTGTGCCTGCTGCTTGTTACTCACCACCCACCCCGACCTCCAGTATGATGGACTCGGGCCACCGAGTCACCTGAAAACCCCCACCTTGCTGCGCCCCAACAGCAAGGGAAGGCGCTGGCAGCAGCGGGCACTGCAGGGGGCCGGGGTGCCCACCCTGCTGCCCGCCCCTGCCCTGCCCCAGCCAGCCCCCCGGCACCTGAATTTGAGGGTGCAGTTCTGCCAGTCGAAGGGGAAGAAGTCGACGTTGATGGGACAGGCACTGCGGAAGATGGCGGGCGGCAGCCAGTATACGTAGCCCGTGTTGTAGACAAGGACGTTGCAGTAGTAGGCAATCTCGAAGAGCCCATCGTTGCTGTGCCAGGAGAGAGCTGAGGTGATGGCAGGGCCAGCGAGGGGCAGGGGGAGCCCTGGGCATGCCTTGTGGGGTTCAGGAGGGGAAACTGAGGCACGGCTCACTTGTTCTCCAGGACTATCTCAGGTAGCCACAGCATGTCCGGCGGCAGGCGGAGCACCTCGATATCCCCAAACTCAGACTTGTTCCACTGCAGGCGGTAATCGTTCCAGCCCTAGAGGGGGGGGTCCCCAGGTCACCCCCTCATCACTCTGGGCCACCCTGTTGCCCATGGCTTGGGCCACAACTGACGCCATGACACCTGCCCCTACTCACGTGCTCGAGCCATAGGTTGGTGGTGAGCGTCTCATCCACCTCTTTCTGCAACAACAGCATGGGACAGTGAGAGGCCAGGGCCATCCCTCCCCAGCCCAGGACCCCCAACCCTCACCAGCCAGGGTTTGGGGCAGTGGCCCCAGGGCTCCCCCCACCCAGCCCACCCCGTGGATGAAGCATGGCTGGAGGGCAGCCCACAGCAGGCACTGCCCTCTGGGGCTCACCAGCGAGATGAGGTTGGAGAGAGTGAGGGCCAGGTAGACATCCACAACCTGGTCGGTGGAGACGACAGGGCGCACCTCCTTGTTGTAGTCCTTCTCTTCGAAGAGGTGGTGGATGAGCCGCTCCTCCTCGTTCACGCAGAGCCCGCCTGGGGGTGTGGGGTCAGGCAGACTGGGCTGGGGCTGTGGGGGTTACTGGGCCCAGTGCCACCCCCTAGGGATGCTCGGTGAGGGCAGGGTGGTGTAAGGATGGAGGAAACAGGCCAGGACACTGCATGTCTGTGTTGCACAGGGGCATGGACACGGGGCATGCGGGAATGGCACACATGTGGGGACACATGGGCGCACATGGACACGGGGCATGCGGGAATGGCACACATGTGGGGACACATGGGCGCACATGGACACGGGGCAAGGACATGGGCATGGGCACAGAGGGACACACAGATACAGACCCAGGACACACACAGACATGAGACATTTGGGTACAGACGTGGTGGCACTGTGCACATAGTGGATGCACACACAGAGGCACACATGGACACGGACACACGGACGTGGAACCAGTATAGGCAGGGACATGTGGTCATGGATGCAGTGTCAGTGTGCACACAGACAGACAGGCACACAGAGGGACACACAGACACAGTGGCACTGTGCATGGACAGATGGACTTTTACACTGGCACACAGGGACACAGGCAGGGACACAGCCCCACTGTACACAGACAGACAGAAAGACACACGGCCCAGGCAGGGACTCAGTGATTATACTCTGCCAGGCAATGCCCAAAATGCAGCCCTGGGGGCACTTGTGCCCAGCTTGGACCCTGCCACCGTCACCCGCCACTAACGCCATCGAGGCAGCCCAGAACCCCCCAGCGATGGGGCAACCCCGTGCCCAAGACCCCAGGGCCCCGCTCACCCGACAGCACCAGCGCCCCGAGCAGGGCCAGCCGCGCCGGCAGGTCCCCCATGCGGTGCCCACGGTGCCCTCGCACAGTGCCAGGCCCTGGCCGCTTCCCCGCCTGGCCTGGCCAAGCGGATGTCCGGCTGCCGGCCGGAGTGGGAGATGGATGGTGCCAGGTGCCGAGGGGGAAGGGTGCTGGACTGGATACCCGCTCCCACCCCTCTCTTCCGGCACCCCCGCGCCTGGAGAAGGGGAGATGGACAGGCGCAGCTGGCCTTGCTGGCCCCATGGGTGTCAGCCCATCACCCTGTGCCTGGAGACCCCAGCACAGGCATTGCTGGGCACTGGGAAGGGCGGTCCCTTCCCCACTGCTCAGCAGCCCCAGCGATGCTGCTCGGGGGCGGCAGGCTCCCCACGAGCAGGAGGGGTTGGTACCCACCGATGCCCAAGCACAGGGGTGGCACCACCCCAGCGCTCGCCGCTGGCCCAGGGCACGCTCGGCCCCTGCACCCGCAGGTGGTTTCCTGGGCGTCCAGGATGGGGTGGCACCAGGGGCGGGCACTGGTGCTGTGCTATGGGTGCTGCGGTGGGCAGGAGGGGTGCCTGACCCCCAGGGTGGGGAGTCTGTGCCAGGCTGGGTGCAGCACCGATGCCAGGGGCAGGAACCGAGGCTGGGGGCATCGCTTTGGGGTACAGGGGAATGGGAAGGGAGGTGCAATGGGCTGTCATATCCCCCATGGGAAGTCCCCCACTGGTGCCCGCCTCACTGGCACCACGTGGCACATCACTCACTTCACACTTGCCAGCTACCAGAAAATAGAGCCCTTCTTTATTGAAAAATAAACCTTTCTATGTACAAATAAATAACAGCCCAAATGTCTCTAGAGAAAATGGGGTGGGGGTGAGCTTGCCAAGGTGGGGGTCCCAGGGAGAGGAGGAGGACTGTGATCCCTGGCTGAGAGACTCCAGGTGCCCCCTAGCACCTCATTGCCCTGGGGAGGTTGGGCAGTGCTGGTGGGAAGAGGGAAACTGAGGCACGATGTGGGACAAAAGGGTGGAAGAGCCTGAGCTGGGGAGGGAGCTGTGTTTGAAGGACGTGAGACACCCCTGCCCCAGAGCCCTGTCCCCATGCTGGCATGGTGCCCCAGGGCACCGCGGGCACCGTTAAGTTTTCAGTGCCTCGAGTGCCAGAGCGACAAGGCCGGGCATGCTGCGGGCCAGCGAGTCGCTCTCCAGCCCCACGAGGCCAGTGAAGGCCGTGGGGCGGCCCCCCACCATGGCCCGCACCTGTGCCCGGTACAGCCCCTTGGCATTTTTGGAGCCCAAGTCCACCAGGATCTGTGGGGAGATGACAACACTGTGAGTCCCAGGGGTTCAGGGGCATGGCGGGACGGTGACGGTCTGAGGGGTGGCACCGTCTGGCTGCTGGGGCAGGGGGCTCGGAGCAGCTGGACGGGGCACTCACCTCTTGGAAGGTCATGGCCAGGTCTGGCTCAGGCACCCGCAGCACCCAGGCGTACAGCTCCTGCACCGCACCCACCCGCACCACTGACTCGTTGAGGCCGGGGCAGGCTGCAATCCCAGGGATGGGCAGGAGAGAGATGGAGGGGGGACATCAGTGGTGCGCTGAGGGGCGGGAAGAGTCATGGGGGCACCATGCTGCTGCCCGCCCCGGGAAGGAGCACCCATGCTCTGGGGATGCTGGGGGAGCCAGGGCAGAGGGTCCCTGTGGAGGAGGGTATGGCCGAGGGTTGTCACACCAACATGGGACAACCAGCCCTGGGACCAGCATGTGAAGCTGAGGCCGGGCTTGCCACCATCGCCATGGTGGCATGTGGCATCCTACAGTGGCTGCGGGCTGCGGGGCGCTTACCTCTGCCTGCGCCTGCCTCCTCCTCCTCCTCCTTCACCCCCGGCAGCTCTGTGGGCATTAGTTCACGTTTCTCCCTTGGTGCGGGCCCTGCCACCAAAAGAGGTGTGAAAACCCTGGCGGGGACATGGCTGGTGGGCACAGACCTGGACAGTGGATGGACACTCCGCTGCCCCGTTGGCCTCAGCCCCCCCAGCTCCCAGGGCTCACGTCTCAGTGTGGGGGTCCCTGCCAGCTCTCTGGGTGCCCATCGCGGCTCCATGGCTTCAAGAGGGGTGCCGAGGTCCAGCTCTGCCCGCAGCTGGGCAAGGAAGGCTTGTCCCTGTCCCACCAGCTCCTCCACCACCTCCTCGCCCTGCTGAAGGTAAGGGGGGACAGGGTGGACGGTGGGGCACCCACAGGGTACCCATGGGCATGGTCAGGTGCACTGTGGCAGAGCGCAGGGCACAGCTGGGCTGGTGTCAGATGGGGCACTGAGGACACATGACATCTTTATGGGTGTGTTGGGTCAGATCCTAAGCTACAGGGTCAGACCCATGGCTGGCTCTGCACTGGTTGGTCTGGGAGCACTGGTTTCAGCTGGGGAGGGTGAGATGCCCCCTCTGTGGTGGCAGAGTGGGAGATGCCACATCTGTGGATGCACAGGGTACGATGGGCCCAAGGGATATCAGGAGGGGACATGGGGGAACTGCTGGGATTTAGTCCGGGGTGGCACTGTCACCAGAGGAGTAGGGGCTCCCCCCAGCCCATCCCTCCCAAATACCTGCAAGAAGAGCCACGTCTCCCCGTGGAGCTGCCCCCCTCCCGGGGTAGGCACCAGGGTGCTGCCCTCTGCCATGGCCCTCAGTGCCTCCACCCAGTCCTGCAGCCGTGGTCCCACGGCCCCAAAGAGCCCTGCGAAGGGGGGAGGCCGCCTGGCCCCCCACCTGCAAGCACAGCAGAGCAAGCTCAGGCAGGTGCCTGGTGGCACCCGTCCCCTAGGCAGCGTCACTCCCACCCTGTGCACCCCTTGTGGGACCTGTCTGGCCCTGGGCACCCTGGGGGGCCGTGCCCACCTCCCTCCAGGTGTGCCCTGGTTGCAGAAAGAACAGGACCCCAATGCTTTAGGCTATCCCCAAAAAGCTATTTCAGTGCCCATGGGCATCTTGCCCACCTCCCCAAACCCTTTAGCCCCCCTTGTCCTGTGGCCCACCATGCCCCACCTGGTGGGGGGTCTCTGGGGTCCCTCTGCCGTGGGGCTGGGCTGGCCCCCTGCCGCAGCTGGGCCTGTGAGGACAAGAAGGGGACAGGAGGGACAAAGGGTAGGGGACCCCCATGGGGATGCCAGGGCAGGCTGCTGGTGCCTCGGCCACTGGCATGGGCGGGACCGATGGGACCCCAAGTAGGCACAGAGTGGCCCAGCCTGGGAGGGTACCTGGGGCATCCCTGCGGACACGGGGCGGGAAGAGGTGCCCATAGATCTTGCCCAGGAGCTGGGGCAGGGCATGGGTGAGGAAGGAGAAGTCGAACTGGTTTCGGATGAAGTCCCCAGCCCGGCGCAGGAGATCCACCAAGGTCTGGGTGTAGGAGTGCAGCTCTGCGGGCACAGCGGGAGAGCCATGGCCCTGGCACCACACCGGCCCCACGCTGCCAGAAACGGCGTCCTGCCCCACACCCTCACCCCGGCATGATCGCCCGGCTCACCGCATCGTCTCGTCCTGGCGAGGCAGGTCTCCTCGGACAGGCGGATGCAGGCAGCCCGGCCCTGGGGGGCCCGGCAGGACCCGGTGTAGAAGGCGCAGAGACGGGCGCGCTCGGGTGGCTGCTGCTCAGGGGGCAGCTGGGCCAGTGCCAGCAGGTCGAAGCAGCTTGGTTCCCGGCTGCCGGGGGCGGCTGCGAGGGCACCCGGGCTGCCATGAGGTGCTGAACACCCCCACCCAGGACGATGTATCCCCACAGCACCCTGGGCATCTCTGTCCCCCCCAGCGCAGCCAGTGACACTCACGGTCCATCTGGAGGCTTAGCCAGTCCACAAAGGCGGCGACACGGGTATAGACGCCCGGTTTGCCCCGCTCGCCGCAGCCGTCGCCCCATGAGGTGATACCGTAGAGGACGAAGCGGTGTGAGGAGGGGTCCTGGCATGCCAGCGGGCCCCCCGAGTCACCCTGGGAGGGGGGATGCCCGTGCATTGGTCTGGGACAGGACCCCAACCGCACTGCTGGGCTGTGCCATGCTGCGGCACATGCCCAGCACTGTGTGCCATGAGGGATTTTTGAGCTGGGGGGCTGGCAGCCTCCCAGCCCTGGGTGTTACCTGGCAGGAGTCGATGCCCCCAGACAAGTACCCAGCGCAAAACATGGCGTTGGTGAGCATGTCGCTGCCCAGGGCACCCCGGCACGTCTCCTGGCTGAGCAGGGGCACTCGCGCCTCCATCACCACGTTGGCCGCTGGCCCCTCTGCCAGGCAAGGCACCTATTATGGGGTGCCCTGTGCCCGGGCACCCCCCTCTCTTTTGCACCCCCCTACCCTGGCTTGGTGCATTGGCACTGGGCACAGGAGAGGGCACCGAGGGGGATGCCCCACAAACCCCGTGGGTGTCCGGGTGGCACCTACCTTCGTAGAGGGAGCCCCAGCCTGTGATGTAGCAGGTGGTGCCAGGGCTGGGCTCCGCGGGGCTGCTGGGCAGGCACACGGGGCTGACGGTGGGTGAGGGGGCCAGCGGCACTGCCAGCTCCAGCAGCGCCAGGTCCCCGTGAAACGTCTTGGGGTTAAACTGGAAGGAGATGCGGGGTGTCAGTGGGGAGCCTTGGGGCACGAACAGGGAGGTCAGGGGGGTGCCCACCTCCACCGACCTTGGGGTGAGGCAGGATGCGCCGGACTGGCACTGCCTGCTCGCCCACGTCCGTCTTGCCCAGCTCGTGGTCACCCACCACCACTGTCCACGCCAGCTCGTTCCGGTTCCTGGCGGGGTGGGGGACAGCGAGTTACAGGGGTGACAAGAGTGCCACCCCATGCCCCCCTCTGCAGGGACATCATCCCTACGTTGCCATGCCCCTTGCCGTACCCGGCGAAGCAGTGGGCTGCGGTGAGGACCCAGGAGTGCCCCACCAGCACCCCTCCACACATCAGCTCCCCGTGGAGCCGCACCGACACCAGCCAGGGCCAGGCCCCCCGCGGGGCCACACTGCCGCCCATGATCCGTCCTCGGGGGGCTGTGGCGTTCGCTTGGGGGCCCCCACGGTGCCCGCAGCTCCCTGGGGAACAAAGCTGGGGTGAGGGGGGGCGGGTCCTGGCACCTCACTGCCAGGACGCCCCATCTCCTGGATGGGCACAGGGTGGCCAGGCACAGCAGTGCCGGGATGGCCATGGTGGGCGGGGGGGGTGGTGGGC